TCAAGTGATGGAAATTTTTATTTCTAGTGAACTGTCTCAAGCGAGACGAATCTTGTTTTAAGAAAAACAATCTCAAGTGAGATAAATTGTTGTTTCGAGTGAAACTGTCTCAAACGAGACAAATTTTGTTTTAAGTAAAACAATCTCAAGTGAGATAAATTTCTATTTGAAAACATCCTGCACTGAAGGTCTTATGGATGGCCCGTAGGTCTTATAAATTTGGGAAATAGTTTACTAAGTAAGATACTTTGGAAATCGTTTTCTTACTATTCAACAATTTCATTTTCAGAAAAGATTAAATGAGAAACTTTGAAAATTGTTTTCTCATTTTTTTAAATAACTTGTTAGTTGGGTAACATGCCCCACTTCAAAATAATACTTCTTTTGTGGATTGCAACCATCTGATCTTCAAATGTTTACTTCTCCTGAAGTGATTTGAATTCTTCCTTCCTTTTGTAAGGTATTTTCCATCATGAATCTTCTTTGTTCATACGAAGATCTATAAAACTTCATGTTTGAATGTAATCAAATGTATCAATGTAATGCATTTTCTATTATGCAAATGATGTTCTTATGAATGCAAAAATGTTGATGCAATCTTCATTCGAATTCAAAGTGGCAAACTTGGTCTTCATTCACTTAGTCAAAATGTCATTTCAAGCGGCATTTCTGATGAACCATCTGATCCACTTGCATCTTTGTGTCTTTTTTGTTTCATTAAAGTCTCAAAAGAAATGTTTCATTTATGGAATTTTTGCCATAATCAGAATTATGACCTTGATGCCCCATTTTGTCGTGGATAAAATTGGTTTTTTTCATCTGAATTTGTGTAGAAATCTAATAAAGCTTTCATCTTTGAAAAGAGAATCTATCATTTTTGAAGAATATAGATGTAGATATGTTAAACTCAGCAGAGTAATTAGGAGATCAACGTCTGTTCTGATTTGAGTCTTGAAACACATCATAAGGAGGATTTATCCTAATTCCTTTCATGTTTCCACATCTAATTGGATCTCGAACAAAGCCATTCAGACCATATCATGTCGAGATGCTTAACAACAACCTATTGTTCAATCTTAATTGGCTCCACTAGTTTCTTGTTGTTAAAATTTCAGCCTCCCTTTTATGGAAAGAAATCTTAATCATATTTAACTTCTAACCTTGGGGTCGAAGAAGTCAAACTTCATCTTGGGCCCATAAATGTGAATGCCATATGATTGCAACATTGGTTCAGCACCATAATCACTAGTTCGTAAAACATTTGACAACACATTCATCATTTCCTGTGGCTTCTATACAGATTTTTTCAGTGAAATTCTTTGCATAGTGTTCGGAGCTTTTGTAGGACGTCTCTTAAGAACAAAGCTCAGTGAGACCACAAGTAGGATGATTTGACTTGCCAGCATCAAATCATCAGAACAATGCAACTTTCTGTCTTATTGGAAATATTTGCTCAAATCAATGATCTTTCTGCAAGATGATATAGGCCTTCAGCATGCCCCAGTATTTTCTGATATGAACGTTCAAAATGAGTTCAAAATTTTTCTTTGATGATGTGAACCCTCAAAATAAACTTTCAAAATGCTTCACATGAATCATTTCTGTCTAAAATAGGCTTTCAAGATGTCCCAACATTTGCTTCTTGCTAAAATGAGCCTCCAAGAATGCCCAAACATTCCTATTAATGTGAGCCTTCAAAATACCCCACATATATCATTTATGTTTGAATTAGGCATTCAAGATGCCCTAACATTCTATTTCTGTTTGAAATGGGCCTTCAAGATGCCCCACATGGATCTGTCTGAATTGGGCCTTCAAAATGCCTCAACATTCTAAATTGTAAAGCTTACTCTCAACATTTGTTTGACTTGAATATCATGATCCCCACGAGGTCCAATTTTGAAAATGCACTGTTATGGGTACTTGTGGCTTTATTCGTGCCCCAAATCGGTTTTTCTTGAATACTCTCATTCTGGTGTTACAAAACAGCAGTGTTGTCAAGTAATTTGAGAAATTCTCTTTATGTTGTCACAAACTTAAGAAGTATTCAATCATTCTGACAGAAACGTCTAAGATATATGCATCTTCTGAATGAGGTGATCATCTTCTGGATATGGAGGGTTCTAGTCGGAAAAAATGGTATAAATCGCTTGGTAATACATTCCAGGCCGACAAAATGGCTTATCATCTTTCAGTCTTAAGAAACATGTTTCCAGGAGTATCAATGTTCTGTCTCTTTTCTTTAGGATTGGTGGTGCAAAGATTGCCCTTTACCGGCTCGTCATACCTTTGAAAGCAGATGTGCAAGAACTGAATGATGATCAGTTTGAGCAATTGATGAGTAGATTTGACGGATTCGACCTTGTTGTCGATGGCATCCCGTGTAACAACTTTACTGGAAGAAATAAACATCATTGAGATGGACTCAAGGATTTTTGTTGGTGCATTTTCTTGCAATGACTGCTACAACAACTGTCTCTTCTGCTGCTCCAAGATACGCACTACCATATCCCACTCTTCCCGAACCATGGAAAGGTTTAGTTGATAGTAAAATTGATTATCTCTATTTTTGGAATCCTGTAACCAATGTTACCCAATATGAAAGGCCTACAAATGTAGAATCTGTTCCAATGTCTTATTTTGTGCCTATAAGTTCTCAATTTCAAGTTCAACAATCTTCTGAAGGACATAATGGATATAATCCTGACAAGGAAAATGATCAATATGGAAGAAACAACAATGATGTATCAAGACTTGAGCCAGTATCATGGTATAACCAGAGTACAGGTGGTGGACTTATTTATTCCCATAGTACACCTAATGAGACTTATAGCTCTGTGATTGGAGGATCTGCTAGAGACATGGATTGATGGCTGGGCAAAATAATTTGTCTGGTGATGCTTATCGCCCTCAGCATGAGATAAGTGTCCCTTTTAAATAGGATAATCTTTCTTAATGAGTTGCTAATAATGTCACAGAAGAGCGTCACAAGTTCAATTCTCCAGACTTTCTGGTTTTTTTGGACCACTTGCTTTCAAGAGAGTGAAATGCTTCATCATTCTGACCTTGTTCATTCTTTTTCTTCAATAGAGGTAGAATTGGCAACAACTTGCTTCAAGGACTTTCCTCATTTGAGACTGTCCTGTTTGAAAGTGTTTTTTATTCTTTCTTTATCGAAGAATGAAAGAATTTTGTAAAGTATTGCTCCTTACAGGTTCACAATAGAATCAAATCATAAAACATGAGTTTAATGAATATCAAATAAATCAACTACTCTTTTAACTCATAAAATCATAGTCCTATGGAAAATGTCAAAATTATTGACTGATTTAAGGTGTAGGTTGATTATGGTAAAGCAAGGTCTCTTCAGGTTGGTCCAGGATATATGTATATTTGAACTTTCACTAACTTGAAGAAATGGTTGTTATGTTCATCTCATAGAGACACTTGTTGGTTCCAGAATCTCAGGAACATCTTTGGGATGTGCGGTGCTTCATCAAGAGCTTAAGATCGTCTCTTATGTCATTGTTGCACCATTCAATATTCAAGCCGCCTTTTCAGGTTTTCAACTCGAATCCTCCTTTGGTTTCAAGATGTTATTTAAAAATTTACATCTTGAACCCCCCTTTTATCATTTTTCATATTATACATTAAAGATTAAAAAAACCATTTTTGTAAATAAAAATCAATCCTGAGAGGCGGAATGAAATCTGAAGATAGTCCCTTTCACATAGAAATCCATGTATGATTAGAATGGACTTTTCAGGTACGTAACGTAGGTCATGGCTCATGGTTAAGAAAGAAAGGGATAAAAGGCCCAAACAAGTGTTTAAGGGTAATTGAACCAAGGATCAATTCACTCTGATGCCTTCAATCTTTCTTTGCTTGACTTAGATCTGCTTTGCTGGGGATTTTTCTATAAGATTCATTCATCTCCAGCATTTCTTGTGTTTCTTGTTGAATATGAATCTTTGAACTAATTACACTTGATCAACCTTGTAACTTGAGCTCAATGAGTCACCCATCTTGATTTAATTTCTCATCTTTTCTTTTTTTCCTTTTTTTCTTTTTTTCTGATGAATGAGTATATGACTCTAATTGCTTTGAGAACCTCCTTTTCCTCTTGCATTTCAAAAATTCTTTCATTATTCTTGAATGGATTGATCTTCAAGCACTTTGTATTTAATCTACCTTGTGGTATCAAAACTCTCTTCATTTCATGATGATTTGCCTTCGTAATTGACAATTTTTATCCCTATGAGCAGATATCATTGTTCTTTCCCCCCAATGTGGAGGGTGATCCTTGGTTAAGGTTGAATCAGAAAAAAATATTATAGGCTCATAAGGGGACAACAATGGATATATATATATATATACATATATTTGAAATGATAAATCAAACAATGTCATTCGTCATCTCATATACAAAAGCCTTTGTAAAAAGAGGTATCCACAGGGGGGTGAATATTCAAGATTAATCTTTATTTAAATGAAAACAATTAATGCATAATGTATTTATCTAAATCAATCTTTTTTCTTCTTCTTTGAGTATGCCCTAATCACACGAAATTATCTTCGATAAGTTGGTCCATGATGCCTCATCTCGTCTCTTCTTGCAGGAAGATTCACGGATAATTGAAAGTTTGGTTTTTTTGAGGTCTTTTAGTTTATGATGGTTTTGTAATTGGAAGGATAAATGAATGACTTCTGAAGTCGTGTATATGGTGGAATGTTATAAACCAATCAACTCTACCCAAGAATATAAACATCTGGATTTGGTGTCTCAAAAACAGGTAGAGACATTACTTCAGAATCTCAGATATTTGTGGGGTCAAGATTTGGTTTTAGTAAGGGTCAAGTAATTGGCATTGGATGCAATATGGAATGTATAATTTTACCACTTGCCAAAGATATATAATTCTTGAAAAAGGGTATTTAATCTACTTGATACTAAAACATTTCAAGATTAAAATTTGATTCCTTGCTCATAACCATAAAAGCAACACAAGTTTATTTATTGCACACTAAGACAGAGAAAGAAACAAAAGACAAGTTCAAACAAGATGCTGAAAATAGAAAGCACTATAGTGGTAGATAACAACTTCCACTTGTTTATTTAGCTTGCCCTATCATTCCTCGAATGTCCATGCTCCTAATTCAATTAAATTTTGAACCTTGCGCTTCAATGCCTCACAATTCTCAGTAGTATGCCACGAGCTTCCCATGTGGTAGCTACATATTGCATTAACATCACATCCTTTAGGAAATGAGGGTTTTTTTGGTTTAGACTGAACTGGAGTCACAAGACTGTTGAACTAGTAATGGGAGTAGTTCTTCATATGTCATTGGAATTTTATCGATATGAGCCTTCTCTCGGGTCATTCTATAAGATTTGGTCCCATGATTAGTTGGATAAGACCTCATTGTATTGATCTCGACGTCAGTACTATTGGAGCGTCTTATTTTACCATTCTTGATAGTTATTTCTATCATTTCTCCACACATGACGATGTCAGAGAACTAATTAGTCGCAGCCCCTATCATGTGATTAATATAGGCATATTTTAATGTATTGATGAACAAAGTAGTGAACTCCCTCTCAGTCAATGGTGGATTCACTTGAGAAGCAATGTTTCTCCATCGTTGTGAATATTGTCGAAAGCTCTCGTTTCACTTCATATTCATGTTTTGCAACATTGTTCGATCAGGGGCCATATCAACCATGTGCTTATATTGACCCAAAAAGGCTTGAGCTAAGTTTTTCCAAGAACGAATTTGAGTATGTTTTAGCTGATTACACCATTTGGAAGCAGGTCCAGATAAACTGTCTTGAAAACAGTGAATCAATAACTTTTCATTCTTTACATAGCCAGTCATGCGACGACAATACATGGTGATATGAGATGAAGGGCATGTGGTCCCATTATACTTCTCGAAATCTAGAACCTTGAACTTTGGTGGGAGAACCAAGTCAAGGACCAAACTTAGCTCTTTGGCGTCAAACCCATAAAATGACTCAGCCGTCTCTCTAAATTTTATCACCTCTTCTATATTTTTCAATCGTTGGATGAGTTTTTTCTTCTCAACTAATTCATTCGGGTCAGAGATCTCATTATCAGTACAAAATTCATCTGGCTTCAATCCAGAAGCAGTAGGAAGGTCAGTGGGGAATGAAGATCCAGCCTGATATTGTGGGTTCTTAACAGTGAAGTCAACTGGTGGTTGGATTTCCTGATGCGCAGAAGTGTGCCCCGGAATGTAAACAGGTGTAACACCAAGGGGATTTGTGGGGTTTTCAACAAGACTTTTACCAGTGGTCAAATGTTTCCCAATCATTTCTTCCATCTTTTTCAGTAGATTGAACTGAGAATTTGCGATATTAGCTTCAACTTGTACCAACTTGCTCCTCAATTCTTCTTGCGTCTCTTTCTGCTCTATCTCAAATTTGGCTAGCCTATCCTCAGTTTCTTTAGACTTTTTTCTTGTGTCGTGCTAAGCGTTTTTGCTACAAGTAAGAACCAAGATCACTTTGGTTGAAATCCTTCTTTTAATGAATGATCTTGATTTTACTTTTACAAAACCTTTCATAAAGTATCTTCATGTATGTTGCAGCTCTTTTTTAGTTTGGTGACCCCTGTTATCCACTCTTCTGGAGTGTTTCTTATACCAGCATTTTGAAAGGCTTGACTGATCTTCTGAAAATTTTCATGCATGGTTTCCATTTCTGTGCTCAATTTCTTGTTTTGATCTTTCAAATAACATGCTTAAGCTTCATAAAAACCTCCATTATTCTGAATGCCCTGACTGATACTCTTGCCGTAGAATGTTTTTGGTATCAATCTAACAGGATCTTTGTGGAATACTTTTGGTATTAATATAACATGATCTTTGTGTGCATAGCTCGCTTCTATCCTCGGAGTTTCCTCAGGATGCCATTCCATGGTTGCGTCATATTTTGTTCGATTATAAAACTTTTTGTCCATTTATGAAAACTTTTCAATTTGATAAACACTCTCTCGAGTCAACACCTTCTGGTTATGTCATGATCATGCAATGCAAGCAGAAGAAATCACTATAAACAAGTTAAAGTAAAATAAAATGTATCTTAGAAAATAGATAAAAATAAAAATAAATAAAATGGTTAGTACCAATTAATAGAAAGAAAAGATTCTTATTTATCATGGTATATAAATAAATCATAACCTCATGTTTTCTAGTTCCATGCTTTGTTTGGAAAAATTAACCTAACCGCATGATTTCTAGTTCGCATGCATTTATTTAGAATAAAAAATGAAATCAAATAAATTAAAAGCTAGAGCATATTTCTCCTTTGTGTACACCTATGGACAGAGTGTCAGTAATGTCTAAGATTGGGTGAATTTCTAGGGTTTATTATATGCAGGGTTTCAGTTCTAGGAGTAAAGGTACTCGAATTGTCCTTGTTGGTGCCCTCTTGGGTTGTAATCCTGGTCCATTATAGACTTAAGCGGATCGAGTTCAATTCAAGGAGACACATTTCCCTATGCCTGACACGGAGAATAAATTCTCACGAAGACATGGAGTATATGAACCCCGAAAGCTACTTGCTAGGTCTGACACGGAGAATAAATTCTCACGAAGACGTCGCTTTCACTCCCACTTAAAAGGGACAAGCTTGATTATAAAGCTTATGTTATGCAATGCACGTGTTGTGTGTGAGGAGAAATTTTCACAAAGAATAAATATTTAAAAAAAGTAATTCAATACAAATAAAAATATACAAGGGTATAAAATAAATTGAAAGAAATTAAAAGAATCATAAATTAAATAAAATTGGATTCTCAATTTCTAATTATAGAGACAATATATAATCCACTTAGGTTTGACCGGTCCCCAGCGGAGTCGCCAAGCTATCGTAACTGGTTTTCGCCCGGTCACGAAATTTTACTTGGCGGGAAAAATAATGTAAATAAATGGTTTTTATTGAAATGTTTTGGGAGTCGCCATCGGCCTTTTGGGTCAGGTAGGTCGAATACCTAAATATCATCTTTTAAAAGAGTTTTTAAGAAAACATCAATTAAAAGATTAACTGGTATGCGTTTAACCAAAAATTCATTCTTTTTAATAATAAAAAGGGATTTGTGGTCGGTTACATTTGGGGAAGGATTAGCACCCCCACAATGCCCAAAATTGGTACCATTTGATTATAAATTGTCTCTATTATTGAAAATTTAAGAATTCAAAAATATATTTAATTCATAATTCAGTTATTTCAAATTTATTAGAAAAATATATTAATTTATATTTTTTTTTATATTTAAATAAGATATTTATTTACTTAGAAATATCAGAAAAGGACTTCTAGGTGCTTTAAGACAACTCATTTCTTAATATTAAAAAATAAATAAATATTAATAAAATATTTCTCTAAAAATAATTAAAATAAAATTAATATATAATTTATAAAAATAGAATATTTTATTTATTTAAGAATATCAGAAAATGACTTCTAGGCGCTTTAAAACAACCCATTTCTTAATATTTAAAAATAAATAAATATTATTATTTAATCAAATATATATTTATATGACTAAAATAAAATAAATAATAATCAAAGTACTAATTTAAACATATTGAAACTAAAAGGATAATAATACAAATAAAATTAAATTGCAATTAAATATTCAAAATAAAAGGAATTAAAAGCTATAGGATTAAATTGCAAAATATAAAAATTAATGTACTAATTCGAAATATCATAAAGTAAGAATATTAACATTGTAATTTAACCATAAATATTAATACGGGATTAAAAATAATAATAATAAAATTAAAAGGACTAATTGTGATATTTATCCTAATATATATATAAACATGCAAGGACTAAATTGAAATAAAATAAATTTCAAAGACAAAATAAAAAATGCCCAGAATTTTAATTTGGTGACTGATATGGAAATTTATATAATAGAGGGATTGTGCGTGTGGTTTTCCCATGTGGAAATTACACAAACACCCCTCACCAAAGCGACGTAGTTTTGGTGAGGGTATAAATATCCTTTAATTAGCCCAAGAGGGTTATTTTCCCTCATTTTTCCTTTTGAGTTTTCTCTCTAAGGAGAGAACTCTCCCCCTTCTCTCTAGAATCCTCCCACCGGAGGAAGTTCCGGTCACTGACCGGTCGCCGTATATTGGCGTTTTTCGTCGTTGCCGGTCACCGTCTATGATGGTCGAAATTTACTAAAATTCACCCGAAAAATCCTCTTTAGATCCTAAAGTCGATTCCAGACTCCCCTTTTTCTAAAAAACCCCCAAACTACGTAGATATAAATTTTTACCTTCGGTTTTTCGGTGGTTCACGGCAGTTTGGATTCTCCGACGAGTGTAAACTGCTCGGTATCTTCACTCTTTTTTTTGTTTCGATTTTGTAGCTGTGTGTTGTTGGTGATCTCCTCTTTTTTCAGGTTCAGTCGATGGGGCTTTTTATAGGCTCCTTCGTACTCCCTTTGGACCGGTTAAAGGAAGGTAACCCGGTGAGTCACCCACCTATGACGGTGGCCGTCTTAGGGGAGATAAGGTGTGCAGTTGATGCTTGCTGGAAGCTGCTGGAACGGGGATGTGAAAGGGTTGCTGGTAGTGCTGGAAGCTGTTGGAATTTGCAACGTGGAGGGGCTGCTGGCAGTGCTAGAAGCTGATGGGATTTGTAACGTGAAACTGCTGGAATGGGGAGGTAAAAATGGTGCTTACACAAGGGAAAGGCTTTTGTTTCTCCGGCTAGTGTTAAAAAAGAAAAGGTTTTGTCTTATCCTATTTGTAAGAAGACAAACCATGTTGTAAAGAATAGCCGGTTAAAGGGGAAAAAAAAACAAGTCCAAATTTCAGAGTACCTTTTGCGATAAGTGTGGACACACTGAAAAGTTTTGTTGGACTAAGAAGAAGCAAGCAAAGAAGCAGCCTCAACAGCAAGCATATGCAAGTGAAGAGAACCAAAAGCAGGGTGAGCATTTGTTTATGGTTTCTTATGTTACTGAACCATTGCATAACATTATTTGACTTGTGGATAATGGGTGTACCAGACACATGACACCTGTGGCAGCATACTTTAACTTACTCGAATAATACCTTTAAGACGAGTGTGAAGTTGGGGTGGCACGGTTAAAGTTCATGGCAAAGGATCAATTTCCGTGATTATTCTACAAGGTAAAAGAACAATCTATAATGTTCTTTTTATTCTTGATTTAGATCAAAGTCCGTAGAGTATTCCCATAAATGATTAAACGTGATTTTAGTGTTCCGTTTAAGGTAATGTCTGTAACATATTTGATGTTTGTGGTTCTAAATTTGATGAGCTGAAAATAAAAAATAATAGGTTTTGTTTGAAGCTTGATGTTGTTTGTGAACATGTGTGCTTGGCAAAGGATGATGTCAGTCCTTTTAGGTAAGGATGGGCTATTTTAATCTTAGAACGTCAAAGTATATGCAGTCAAATGGCTATGTGGGTTTTTGGAATATCAAACCCAAGTTAACACGTACAAATTATAATATCGTATCCAGAAATTTTGGGATGATCCTGTGGGTTCGATCGTAGTTCCTCCCATATGCTTTTAGATTAAAAGGGCTCGAGTGAGGTTAAGCCATGGAAACGATAATTTTTTTTACGTATAAACTATAAATATTTCTGTCTATCATTTTAATTTTTTAAATAAAAATTAACTTTAAATACTAAAATTATTTTGATTAATTGCAAAATTTCCAGGAGACAGCTTTTGTGGAATGAAGGTTACTGAGTTGAGTCGCTAGCCATTTTTGTACATATAATAAACATAACTTGAACAATGCTTAGCAATAATGATTTTATCATAAAAGTTGAGAAGCAGCTGGATTCACTTGAATGGGCCGCAAGAATATCCAGTGCAGAGACCGGTGGCACTGTTGTAAGGGAACAATGAGACGGGTCGACAAGCTGGGAGCTCTGGTATTTGTGTCTCGTTGCTCAGATACTCCATCACCTCTTCCATGCTAGGCCGACCTTTCGACTCATTTAATGTACAAAGTAATCCAATGTCCAGAACCCGAATGGCTTGCTCCAAGTTAACCAGTGACCCCATCCTCCCATCCACCACCTTCACCTTCTCATCCTTCACATGCATTCTCCAAGCAAAATCCACCAAGTCCCTTTCTTCTTGCTTTGCTTCTGCCTCTAACCTTCCCCGTCCCGAAACCACTTCCAACACGAAGATTCCGAATTCGAATACATCAGCTGTCTGACTGATTGCTGACTCGAACCTTCTTGAATCTGTTGCCGAAAGCACCATCCCGAAATCGCCTAGAACTGCCCGGAAGCTTACGTCAAGGAAAACGCTGCTCGTTTTCATGTTCTTGTGAGCCAGTTGCTTAGAATGAAGGAAGCTCAGTGCTTCTGCAACGTCGTTGATGACTTTGAAGCGTCGTGTCCAGGGAAGAACCCCACCTCCGAATAGCCATTTGTCGAGGCTTCCATTGGGGTAGAAGTCGTACACGATCATCATTTCGTTGTTATCATGACACCATCCCCTGATGGGAACCAAATTCGGGTGTCGAACTCGGCTCATGGCACCAATTTCTTTGTGAAGCCGTCGTCTATCCAAGCCTTGCTGTGAGTTAAGAAACTCGGCTGACAGCCTTTTGATGGCCACTTGACAGCCATTGGAAAGCTTCCCTCTGTAATAAACACCCCTGGCATCGCCACCTAGAATTTCTGCCTCGCTAAGACCCCTAGTTGCTGATGAAATCTCAGAAAGCGTGAAGCGACGGGGCTTGTTCGGAGGCCTTGGTCTCTGGGTTTTCTCTGGTAAACCTGTAAGTTTAGAGTTGCCGGTTCTTCCCCTGCGGATACAGAAAAAGAAACCAATCATGGTGGCCAAAGCTAGTACAGCTACGGCAATGAAAATAAAGAAACTGCTGGACGGTTCTTTAGTAGATCTCTTTTGGGTAGTTTGAGCACTAGCCTCAGATTTCTGGAAGGTGATTTTACTCTCACAGGTTTCCTCCGAAGGGAAAAGAAGAAAAGCTTGGCTGGTTGAGCTGAAGTTCCAGGAGAGTACGTTATGAATTTGCGTCTTGTTCCCTGTGGATGCTGAGAATCCAATGAACATGTACTCATTGAGATGGGGAGATAGATCCAGAGAACCAGAGAAGATAGGCTTAGAAGGGTAATCATGGCCATCTGATCCGAGGTGGATGTCCATCCATCTACGAGCACCATCATATGTAATCCAAGCCCGGTGAACTGAACCATCGTTAAGAAACACCCCAAAATCTGATGCATCAATGGTCTTGGTGGAAACAATGCTAGCAAGATTAACGCCAACATGATTGTCATTCGGATCTCTAAACTCCGGATTCTGGTGTGTATCGAATTCAATACCTACGGCTTTGTAATCTTCCTGACAAGCATCATTGAGCATACCAAGCCATGGTCCAGGTCGTCCCACGGTGAACTCATCAGGGACTATGATAAATGTGAGACCACTGCCTCCATGATGAACCCCACCGGCGCTTGAATTAGATGAATTGCTGAATTGAAAAGCAAAGGTGGTTTGAAAAGATGCTGGGGTTTGTGTGTGTGGATCAAGCAGGCGGACTGGCGAGGAGTAAATGGCTCTCCCTGCTTGATGTCTCAGATCAAAGGCCACTGATTCATCTGGAATTTGGATAACACCTTTTTCCATTGAAAGCTTCGCACTCCCAAGAAGTTTCACATCTGATGTAACTCTAGGATCATCAAGGCTGAAATGTGCGAAGGAGATGTTCTTGGTCACGTTTATCACAGGCCCACTTGTAGCTGATGAATCCACGAGAACAAACAGGTGTATCAGAGCTAGAAGATGAAGTGACGATGACCACCAAACAAAACAGTGCCGGAAAAACCCAACAGGTAACACAGATGAATAACAGATTCCTTTTTCCATTTTCTTGAGCAATGAATTCTTGCAGGGTCTCCTACGTAGATAAGCTGCAAGCAAAGATATTGTTAAACTTATACGGATGTGGCTATACAATCTCCTCCCATACCAGTCAAGCATTTCATTACAAGGCATGAGTAGTTTTTTGTCGCTTGTCAACTATTTGTGACAAAAAAAAAAAAACTCAAACTCAAATGACAGGTTTAAGATAATTACAAATACCTTAAACAAGGATCATTTTGTCCTGCCAAATCTCCATTCACAAATCCGATGTTACCTGAGTGCCGCATGCAAACACGTTTCAAGAGTTCTATATTTGCATTAATTCATAGTGGGGCCAATGATTGATACCATTCATCATATGCTTTCCAGTCATCTCCCTTGGTCCCCCTACTCAATTATTGACCTATTTTGATTAGAGACCACAACTTAATTACCAGTTCACTAAATACTAATATAATTTATCTAGAATAATACCTAACAATTATTAAACGGCAAAATCGATCGAATGGAGCGTTGAAAAAAAAGATTGGCTAGTATAAGGTGGTGGGAGAAATATTTTTTGAGATGGGATGATTGCTACATGCATAAATGACAGATTAGAATGGAAAACGCACATTCGGAGCTTCAATGGTGATAAGAAGGGTATTTATTTTTGTTCTTTCCACCGAGCCAAGACAAGCTGAAGACATATGGGACCAAATCATTGAGGGTCGGTGAGAAGTGTAGAAAGGACAAACAATGCTTACGAGAGATACGAAGATGCCTTGTATATTGGATTTTGTCGTATCATTTCGGTCATGAAGATAACCTCTTTGCCCCTAAAACATGGGTGAAAATAAACCAGAGCTTATCATTCAAATCAAAAAGCATAGTTATACATTTGAATCAAAAAAAAAAAAAAAAAAACGATGCGTGTTGCATGTATATATGTACATGGAAGATCACAGGAAGGCAAAGCATTTGAAAGGCATGCACAACTTCAAATTTCACTCAGAGGCAAGTTTCCTTGATTGTTGCTTTTAAATTGAGACTATTAGCAGAGATATAAGAGCCATTGCTACTATGTCTGGAATTGCTTGGGTTCAATCATTTTCACAAGAAATTAAAACAACATTTCTAGTTTTTCACCTAAGTTTCCTGATAACCTTAGTGTCACCTGCATCATTCTAGTTGTAATTACTTATATTTTCATGTAAACATCAGGTCCACACTTAAGGGAAATGTTGATCAGTGTCTAACAACACCAGCTATGGTAATATTTAAGAGAAGAATTAATGAATCGGTTTCTTTCCTTGAATTGTGTTATAATAATGCCGTAAAATGAAAAACCATACACTTACTTTCTCATATTATCTACATTTCTGGAAACAATAAACATGCGTCAAACATCATACTGTGAGTGCTCCCATACAACAAAATTCAAATAAACTTGTTCTAATTGGAAAATAAAGCAAAAAAAAGTCATTAATCACACCCATACTAATCAAGTTTTATATGGATATAATACGGTTTTCAATAAATACTTTTGGATTTTTTAGCTTAACTTGTAAAACTTAGTTTCCGGAAATCGTTCAGTTCGTTTCAGTAATAATTACTACTATTATTTTTCTTTCAACTTGCAGCATTAGTGACTTGTACAATTATTTTCAACTAAAACAACCAATTAACACCAACTAAAATACAATTGGAGCTTTCAAATATAACAGTTTCACGAGTATGATGGAATACTTTAAGCTCTATCTTTTCTCGGTTGTATAATCACAAACTCAGAAAAGCGTTTGAAATTATGTGATGAACCTCGTGTGAGTTGACAGCAATGTAACAATAAACCAACTCCTACACTGCATTCCAATCGCTTACACCAGCAGCATCAACCATTTCCAGTATCGATTCTCTCATATCGGACAAAGGTGTTGAAAAAGTCAAACAAAGGGGGCTAAAAAATTCAACAAAGGGAGCTGGGAGCTGTATTTTCAACTAAGAGAGGCCATCGAATTCGATGGAATTGTGCACTGAATTCGGTGTAATAAATGTGTTAAATATTTTTGGGATAATTGCAACTTTAGTCATTGTAATTTTTAGGGTATTTATAAGATTAGTCCCTAAGCTTCAACTATAAATACCCTAGCTCATTTAGCTTCAAAATCATCCCAAAATCAATTTCTTTCTCCCAATACTAAAGAGTTTAGAGAGGTCTCTTGTGAGTAGTGAGTGTTTTGTAAACACCTGTAAATTTTCTCTCAATAGTAAAAGATATGCAGCAGTCCGGAGACATAGGCAAAAATTGGCTGAACTCCGTTATCAATTTTGGGTATTTTTTTTTCCACTTTTATTTCGCATTCCTACTAATTTGGTTATAGGGAAATTACTTGTACTCGGTTTATTTCTCAACAACTGGTAATCAGAGCTTTTGGTTGTGAATTTTGTCAATTTTTTGCGAGGTTACTATTCATTACTATTCACGTGAATAGTGAAATTTTGTCGACGATATGAATTTATCGACGGAGGTATTCTAATACACGGTGGTTCGCAAGAATTGTCAGAAACAATCCAAACGAAGCCAAATTCGAGTGGGAGCGATGGATGCAGATGAAGGGAAGGTGAAAATTGAAAAGTTCGATGGTACGGACTTTGGCTTTTGGAAGATGCAGATTGAAGATTTTCTGTACTAGAAAAATCTATATCAACCTCTCTCAGGAAAACAACCAGAGGGCATGAAGAATGAAGACTGGGCCCTTCTCGACAGACAAGCCCTTCGAGTTATCCGACTGACGTTATCCCGCAATGTTGCTTTCAACATAGCAAAGGAAAAGACCACGGCGGGTCTTATGGCTGCTCTCTCCAGTATGTATGAGAAGCCATCGACCTCAAACAAAGTTCATTTGATGAGGCGATTATTCAATTTGCGGATGACGGAAAGGGCATCAGTGGCTCAACACCTATCACAACCCAGTTGAGTTCAGTGGAAATTGAATTCGATGATGAAGTTCGAGCTTTAATTCTCTTATCATCTCTGCCAGACAGTTGGAATGTTATTGTTACAGCAGTCAGCAGCTCGTCGGGAAACAACAAATTAAAATTTGACGATGTTCGGGATCTAGTATTGAGTAAAGAAATTCGACGGAGAGAATCGGGTGAAGCATCAACCTCCTCAGCCTTCCACATAGAGTCTAGAGGGAAAACTTCAGAAAGAAATTCAAATCGTGGCAGATCCAAATCCAGAAGGGAAAAATCAAGAACGGGGAAGAAAGATTTTACCTGTTATAACTACGGCAAGAAGGGTCACTTTAAAAGAGATTGCTGAGCACTGAAGAAAAATACCGGCGCACAAGAATCTGCCAACGTGACAGAGGAGACAGGTGATGCCATGATTTTAAGCGTCAATAGTCCGATTGAATCATGGATCTTGGATTCAGGGGCATCTTTCCACTCCACCCCATGCCAAGAAATCATGGAGAACTATGTCAGTGGTGATTTTGGGAGGGTTCATTTTGTTGATGATGAAACCTTAAAGATCATCGAAAAATGAGACATCCGACTAAAGTTGCCAAACCAGACCACTTGGAAGCTGACAGGAGTGAGACATGTTCCTTGCCTCAAAAGAAATTTGATTTCTGTAGGACAGCTTGATGGAGAAGGTTATAGTACAACCTTTTCAGGTTGTGAATAGAAGATTACCAAAGGAGCACTCGTCATTGCTCGTGGTAAGAAGACTGGTACTCTCTATGTAACCTAAAATTTAGAGAATATCATTACTGCAGCAGATGCTGATGGAAAATTAAACCTATGGCACCAAAGGCTTGGTCATATGAGCGAGAAATGGATGAAGACACTTTTGTCAAAAGGGAAGCTGCCGGATCTAAAGAATGTAGATGTCCGACTATGCTAGGATTGCATCTTTGGCAAACAAAAGAAAGTCAGTTTTGCAAAGATTGGCAAGACACCTAAGGTAGAAAAGTTATAGTTGGTTTATACTGATGTATGGGGACCATCTCCAGTTCCATCTCTTGCAGGCTCACTATATTATGTCACCTTCATCGATGATTCTACAAGGAAGGTGTGGGTTTATTTTCTGAATAAGAAATCAGAAGTCTTTGATACCTTTAGAAAATGGAAGGCCATGGTGGAAAATGAGACTAGTAAAGTGCGGTTGAGGTATGATAATGGAGGAGAGTACAGAAATACAAGATTCAGAGATTTTTGCGCAAACAATGGGATAAAGATGGAGACAACAGTTCCCACGAAACCACAGCAGAATGGCGTAGTAGAGCGCATGAACAGAACTCTGAATGAACGTGCCAGAAGCATGAGGACACATGCCTGCCCAAATTTCTATGGGCTGAAGTTATCAACACTGCAGCTTACCTGATCAACCGTGGGCCCTCAGTTCCTTTGGATGGCAGAATACGAGAGAAAGTTTGGAGCAAGAAAGAAATAAACCTTTCACACTTAAGAATGTTTGGTTGTATTTCTTATGTACACATAGATTCTGTTGAAAGAAATAAACTTGACGCCAAGTCCAATAAATGCGTCTTTGTTGGTTATGGTGGTGATGAGTTCGGTTACCAGTTTTGGGACTATGAAAATCGAAGATCATCAGAAGCAAATATGTCATTTTCAATGAGAATGTAATGTACAAAGACAGGTCAATGATGTTCAGATCACTCCTGAAGCAGTTCAAGAAGAACCAGTCACACCATAACTGAGACGCTCCTCCAGAATTCCTAAACCAACCCAACGATATTCTCATTCTTTGCACTACTTGTTGCTAACTGACAATGGTGAACCAGAGTGCTATGATGAAGCAATGCAAGTAGAGGATTTAGTCAAGTGGGAGTCTTCCATGAAAGATGAAATGGACTCACTTATGTCAAATCAGATGTGGGAATTAGCTGAATTACCACCAGGCAAGAAAGCACTCCACAACAAGTAGATTTACAGATCAAGGAAGAGCACGATGGGAGAAAACGCGACAAAGCGAGATTGGTTGTCAAAGGTTTCAGCAAAAAGAATGTATTGACTACAATGAAATTTTCTCTCTAGTCGTGAAACTGTCTACAATCAGACTGGTGTTGAAAATTATAGCTGCAAAAAATCTACATCTTGAGCAGTTAGATGTAAAGACAACTTTCCTTCATGGTGATTTGGAGGAAGAAATCTATATGAGGCAGCCATAAGGCTTCATTGAGGCAGGCAAGAAAAACCTGGTATGCAGGTTGAAGAAGAGCTT